CAAGCCTCTGTGTAGAAACAAAAGCATGCCTCTCACAAAATTCTGTGGTGCGCACTTTCAAGGCTAAATAACTTAAATATTTTTTTTAATGCTAAGCTAACTGTCCTGTTTTTTCTGTGCAAGCCTGAACATATCTTGTACTACCGTTTATTTAAATAGTCAATTCACCTTATTTTATCAATCAATAATACGTCGAGTCCTAGTTGCCCCACTAATTGCATCATAGCAGCGTCCCGCGAAGCAGAGATCTTAGCATTTGAATGGGATAAGCCCGCTTAATCAGAAGTGGATGAACATACACAGAGAGAACTTGTCCAGAATGAAACCAATATTAAGTGCAAAAACGGTTAGAGCAACATCATTATCAATTTAATTTAATGCACAGCTGTATTTATATACTTTTTGTGTGCCCCCCCCCCCTGCCACGTGGCGGTTACGGTTCTGAAAAAAGTTTTTGTATCCCTAGCTGGTTAACCACGCCCCTGCCGTCCGTCATCCGGTTGGTGAAAAAGGCCGTAATTCTACCTGGATGTTTGATGTTTGAAATAAACTCAGGGCGTGCAACTGAACAGCGACTTGAGGTACGAGTGTTCTTTCCTTTTCGTTGTGCGCGTCATTATGCAATGTCCATAATACACCTCTTTGCATTGGTCGCTTTCTCATTGGTATACCTTACAGAAGAACCATTAATAACATTGAGAAAAGGCGAACCACGGAACGTGTTCAAGGGGGTCTTCTATTGGCTTTAGAAAGGCCATTGAATAGAATACATTAACTAAAATATTTTTTTTTTAAAGTGATATTGGTTTCTGAGACCGACTTTTTCTTTTTGGAACGAGGAACGAATGAAAACGTGTGGGGACAGTTGGAGGTCTGGATATAGACGTTGGAGGTCTGGATATAGACGTTGGAGGTCTGGATATAGACGTTGGAGGTCTGGATATAGACGTGCGTTTACCTCAAGGACTCCATGCGTCTAAAAGTATTTGAAATACAAACTTAAGTGCACTGGATTGTAATTTCTACTTGGTATTTCGCATAGGCGTAATGGTGTCATTTTAATCTAGCCAGTGCAATATTATATCTTACTAGTCTTTGATACGTCTTAACTAATGTGTCTTGTATTTGTTGCTTTTCTTAAAAGTTATAAATTACAATATTTTGTAAGGTCGTTATTTTCTTGGCATTGAATCAGTTTTTTTTTTTTTCAAAAATAATTTTGGACGTAAGGGAATACAAAAATAAAATCACGGGTTGCCAAAAAAAAAAATGGTAAGTGTTGTTGGAAATCTTGAGATGCAGTGTTAAAATATTTTATGAAATGAAATCGACCATGAGATCGATTCACGGTAACAATGTTTAATGGTGGCTGGGCATTTTAACTTTCAGTCACACGTGACCAAGCATGGAATGCCGTAAATGCTTACTTTCATCATTGCAATTGCTTTAACCATTTTGATAAGGAAACAAAACAACAATTAATTTATGTTTTTGCACAAAAAAAAAAAAAAAAAAAAATTTAAAAAATTTTTAGTCATTTGGGTATCTCATTTCCCGTTTGTTTGTTTTGTGGTTGTTTTTTCAGCTTTGTGTTGTCAGTCTGTGTTAAATATATTGGCTTGCGTTTGTTGTAAAACTAAGATGTCTTCTCCTAGAACAGACATTGTCCCCCGCTCAAACATTCCTGTCCAAATGGTAAGATCATTCACAAACTAAACGTGAGATCTTGTGTGTCAACGACCGGGAATCTCTCGAAACGGATTAACGATTACCAGGCTCGTCAACAACATTCTTTGTAAAGCACCTAATGACGTAGTTGTTTGTTATAGCCTTTAAAAAAAACTAACACTGTATCTTTTTATTTACGGAAATAAATTGAAACTTTAAATGGAGTTAATTACGGAGTTCTCTCTCCTTGTATTTTTGGTGCTCTCTTGTTCGTGAAAATTTCAAAGAATGTGTTGTCATTGGCAACGAGTTTGTGTGCAAAGTTTCATCTCGATAGGATGACGTAAAAGTGGGTAAATAGGCCTTCCGAAGATTTTTTGCCACAAAGAAACACACCAACAAGTGCGAAGTTACTATAAACGATTTTAAAATATTTTTTTTTTAGTAAAAGTTTAAAATGTCAATCTATGGAGCGCCCCCTTTCTAAATATCGTATCTGATTTTTAACCTTCCTATCTGAACGGCTAGGTGAAATTCTTCCACCAGGGCATTTATTTGGAAAGAGAATGTTGATAAGTTATGTGCGTAATCCGGTCATTAAGAAAGCTATTGTCCCATTATAGCTTACAATAATATTAATAGTCTTTTGTGTAGCAACAGCTGTGTCTCGTCTGTAGTTGTGGGTTGTTTTTTTGTGGGTTTTTTTTTAAAGCATTCATTTGTCATTGTCACAGAGCTGTTGTTGCGGAGGAGAACTCCGGTCCTGACTTATCACAAACTGTATTATTATTGTAGTAGCGTTCAGTACAGGACCGCTCCTCTCTGTGATTTTTGTGTGGGTGTCTATTCGTTGGGACAGACAAAAGCATAACGTCGACTTGAACGAAATCCAACAACTCGAGCTCCAGGTATACAATGATCAAATAGACTATATTTATTACTCAAATAAAAAGTTCTTCTATAGCTGTCACTAACTGTCAGCTATCCATGTGCATCTCTGAAGCTATGACTGTTCACTGCTTCGTCTCAGCTATTTCTATGTTCTTCTAGTCAATTGTCGTCCCCTGCTCTCTAGCAACTATTCCCCATGATCTGCTCTCTCAGATCTTCTCTCTCTCTCTCTCTCTCTCTCTCTACCTCAACCGCTATACCTCTCAACTGGCATGTCTCGAAAAACTTCTCCCTTATATTTGCCCGCCGTGTGACTATATAAACTCTGCTAGCCAACCATCCCACGGTCATTGAATTGGCCACATCATTTAAGGCAACATTCCCCGACCAGATCCTTTTACCTCCGGACGTCCATTCCACGTCCTTACCAATAAGCTATTAGCATCTGTCACGTTGAGACTTTTACTATTACTGATGATTAATCTAACTCTACCCCTGTTCTTCGTGAACATCCCATTTCCACCTGCAAACTGAAAACGTGTTAATCGAAAACATTTGCGATACCCGTTCCCACACTGCCCCCCCCCCTGGATTCTCGATTTCCCCAAACTATCATGTCTTCCCTGCACTACCATAAACTCTGCCGACGTCAGGCTAACAATTCCCTCATCTTGATTCTCGATTTCCCCCAACTATCCTGTCTTCCCCGCACCACCATTAACTCTGCCGACGTCAGGCTAACAATTCCCTCATCTATTGTACTTTTGTGCCCCCCCCCCCCCAAATCGTTCGCGTCTCTAGCATGGTCATTTGTGACAGTCATCCTAGAACAGCGGTTCTCAATCTGTGGGTCGTGACCCCTTTGGGTGTCGCGGGGGCCCTTTCCAGGGGTCGCCTAAGACCATCTGAAAACACATATCATTACAGCTATGAAGTAGCAACGAAAATAATTGTCTGGCTGGGGGTCGCCACGACACGCGAAACTGTGTTAAAGGGTCGCGGCACTAGAGAGGTTGAGAACCACTGTCCTAGAAGAACAAAGAATGTTTTTCAATCACGTCAGCTTAGTAAATTGCGAAATTTCCACAAATGATTTTGATTGAATCCGTTATGGTGTTTGTGTGTGTGTGTTTTTGGGTTGTTTTTTGTTGGTGTAGTCCTGTTGAGTTGCTGTTGTTCTAGTTTTGTTCAACAGGTATTGTTTTGTTTTTTTTGTTGTTGTTGTTTGTTGTTTTTTTTGCCGTGCACATCATTTTGAATCGAGCAGCATCGATCAAATTCCGAACAGGTGCGCAGTCTTTGACTCAGTTCAGAGATAACGTCATCAACTACAGGGGGAAAGAAAAGGTTGATATCCTAAGGTTAAAATTGATTTGGTTCTGTGCTGTTATATGCCTTTTTAAATGGCTATGTTCCAAGATTAGCCGGTTAGGTGAACAATGCGTACCAATGGACAGTCGATTTAGTATACGATCAGACAAAGTGCACAATTTATTTTTTTATTGATCTTGTACACTTTTAAAAAAAAAATTAAGCGTTGTTAGCTGAGAATTCGTTTGTTGTGTAATTTGTTTGCTGTATGTCCGTTTGCAGTGCACTTGTTTACATGTGCTCTTGTTTGCCTGTCCCTTTGTTTGCTGTGGGCTTGTTTGCTGTATGTCCGTTTGAAGTGCACTTGTTTACATGTGCTCTTGTTTGCCTGTCCGTTTGTTTGCTGTGGGCTTGTTTGCTGTATGTCCGTTTGCAGTGCACTTGTTTACATGTGCACTTGTTTGCCTGTCCGTTTGTTTACTGTGGGCTTGATTGCTGTATGTCCGTTTGCAATGCACTTATTTACATGTGCACGTGTTTGCCTGTCCGTTTGTTTGCTCTGCACGTGTTGGCCTGCCTCCTTTTTTAAAACCGTGATGGTATATTGCGATATTGCTTTGCCTAAATCTTGTGTTTTGTATAATTAAAAAAATCCATGTTTTTCTTATGACTCAAATAAAAAATATGTATTTGTCAAACTGAATCCAACTTATATTCAAATCATCATATTTGTGCTATCTCATTGCGTCTGGGTGGCTTTCATCTTGCCATATAACATTTGTGTCCTCTCATGGCGTTTCAATGGCTTAAATCTTGTCGTATCGCATTTGTGCTATCTCATGGCTTCTCAATGGCTTACATATTGCCGTATCGCAATTGTGCTATCTCATGGCGTCCCAATGGCTTTCATCTTGCCGTATCGCATTTGTGCTATCTCATAGCGTCCCAATGGCTTACATATTGCCGTATCGCATTTGTGCTATCTCATGGCGTCTCAATGGCTTTCATCTTGCCGTAGTCGTGTCTTAGGAAAAGCATTTCAACCCTATGATAGTTATTTTCTGACATTAAAAATTATGATTAAACTATGACATATTATTTCAGGTAATTTTTTTTTTAAAAATAATCCAGCAGCACAAACGATGAAGACGCTCGCCCTAGTCGTGGTGTGGTCAGCGATGGTCCAAACACAACTGGTGACCGCAACGGGCGCTACCAAGGTCATCGAGGCGCGTCTGGGTAGCTACATGGGGTCAGAGACGACGGCCATCAACAACGAGAAGTACTGGTCTTTCAGGGGGATCCCTTACGCCAAGCCTCCCCTTGGACAGCTGCGCTTTGCCAAGCCAGAGAGGCTGCCTTATCAAGGTCATTTCAGTGCAACAATAAGATAAGATAAGATTAGATAAGATACGATTAGTTAAGATGCGATTAAATAAGATAATATAAGATATAGGCAAAATAAGATATAGAAGAGATAGATTATTTTATTGTTCCAAGTAAATGGAAATGTCTAATTTTTGCCCTTTTAAACATTGCAATATACCTACACAATTACTGTAGATAGATACATACACTTAACACGCAACACTTTTAACTAGAACGATTTGAACACAAGGCATCTAAACGTATTTGTCCAGCGCAACAAATCAGCCATCATATTCCAGAGGACTTCGCTCCATTAGCGGCAGTATTGATATTAAGGAATATCATTTGGAGCTTGTGACAGCCGCAGTAGCACGCTCGGTCACGTGTGACAGAACCGTCATAAAATGTAATGGTTGTCACTTGGGCTCTGTATAACATTAGTATAAAGGATTTGGGGGGGGGGGGGTGGGGGGGTAGTACACAAAATTGTGGCGCCCTCGGTACTAATGTCTTTAGTGAATGCTATTCCGTCATTCACCTTGACCTATTGTTTGCGAGTAGTTCAAAATTTCAGAATCCTAAAAAAAATTATGAAAGAAAAAAAATAAATTTTATTTATAAAAAAGAGGGGGGGGGGGGGGGGTAGTACACAAAATTGTGGCGCCCTCGGTACTAATGTCTTTAGTGAATGCTATTCCGTCATTCACCTTGACCTATTGTTGGCGAGTAGTTCAAAATTTCAGAATCCATGCTTGAATATTTGAATTGGCATTTAATGAAGAAAGCTTTTTAATCATAGGATGTGGTCCGGTGGTATTAAATGATGATGGGAAGTCTAAGAAAGAACATGCTTCTTAGCATAATCTTAGGGCCGTCCAGGTGATGGTAAAGTCTTTCTCTTGGGGCCGTCTAGGTGATGGTAAAGTCTTTCTCTTGGGGCCGTCTAGGTGATGGTAAAGTCTTTCTCTTAAGGCCGTCTAGGTGATGGTAAAGTCTTTCTCTTAGGGCGGTCTAGGTGATGGTAAAGTCTTTCTCTTATGGCCGTCTAGGTGATGGTAAAGTCTTTCTCTTAGGGCCGTCTAGGTGATGGTAAAGTCTTTCTCTTAGGGCCGTCTAGGTGATGGTAAAGTCTTTCTCTTAGGGCCGTCTAGGTGATGGTAAAGTCTTTCTCTTAGTGCCGTCTAGGTGATGGTAAAGTCTTTCTCTTATGACCGTCTAGGTGATGGTAAAGTCTTTCTCTTATGGCCGTTTAGGTGATGGTAAAGTCTTTTTAATAAATATAGTAAAAAGGTATATTTTGTAATTCTGGAGGATTTATTAGCAAATTGGTTGGGGGGGGGGGGCGGGGGGGGTTCAAGTTAAAAATTTCACGTGATAAGTTCTCATAACAGTACATCACAATACAGGTAAGTGTGACAGGACATAAGTTGTCAGTGACATATAATTTTTTTGGAATAGGTATAATTCCTCTTGTTCAGCATATCTTTGTATTTTATGAGTATCATACGATTTCTATAGAATGGAACAAAAAATGTAGGAGAGCTGCTCTGAGCAGAGTTTAGCAAGCCAACCGATTAATTTCCCTGTCCCCCGAGAGCATGGGCTACACTCACTTAAATTAAATAACAACATTGACCATGGTATATGCAAATATGTGGAACCCAGAATGTAAATAAATGTATTTAATTTGTTTAATTTTTCACCTTGATACGAGTTTTAAATTTAAAAAAAAGACAATTAAATAACATTTAATGTTCCCACAGACAACGGGGAAATATTAGGTACGCGCTTATTCAGTTTTAACACTACTCTTGATTAAATATTTATCTTTCTTCTCATAGAAGCTGTACCCTAATTTCGCTGTTCTCATTCTAAAAACAGATGGCGTATTAGACGCCACCAGACAAGGTGCCGCCTGCCCACAGAATTCATATTTTCTCTCTCCAAACGAAAAAGTTTCCGAGGACTGCCTGACACTGAACATCTTCGTCAAAAATCCAAAGTACGCCACCATCAACGCCAAAAAGGTCTTGGTTTGGATACACGGCGGCGCCTACCTCTTCGGCTCCTCCTTCATCTACGACGCCGGAAACCTCGTGACGGAACACGACGTCATCGTCGTGACCATCCACTACAGGCTGGGCGTCCTCGGCTTTCTGAGCACCGAAGACGAGGCCAGCCCCGGAAACTACGGCCTGTGGGACCAGGCGCTGGCGATTGAATGGGTCAAAGCCAACATCAGGGATTTCGGGGGCGATCCGGATGACATCGCCATCGCTGGGGAATCGGCGGGAGCCGCCTCTGTTTCGACCCTGTCTATAAGTCCGTATACCGACGGCCTTTTCACAAAGGCGTACTCTCATAGCGGGAGTGCGACATCTTTATTCTCGCGATACACTGATGCTAAAGGTGACGCCTTTCTCTTGGCGAAATCCCTAAACTGTACGAAGGTTGCTGACCAAGCGGATCTCTGTTCCACGGCGTCCAAAGCTTTGATTCAGTGTCTGAGAACGAAGCCCGCTGACGTTCTCGTACCCCCTCCAGAACTTCTTAGAAGTACGTTCGTGCCCCGGGTCGATGGGGACTTTATCCCGAGACCGCCGATCGAACTCTTACGTGACTCCCGATACCTGCAGAGCGTTGGATTTTACCGCAGGAAATATCTGGTCGCAATTAACAATAACGAAATGAGCGCCATTGAACCCCGTTACGCGCCCGCCAAGGCCAACTTCTACGCTTCCAGTAATTTGACCACTTCCGCAAAGGATGCGCTGTGGCGGTACTTCGCTGTCAACGGCAGCACTGCCGAACGCTTGGAAGTGGCCGAGGCCGACCCAGTGGTGGCCGATGCGGTTGGGAGCTGGTACGAAGACCGATACCCGGGAGAGTCCGGCTACACTCAGATTGTGTACGACCTGCATTTTACGATTCCGACCTTCGACGTCCTCAACGCGGTTGCCCTCAACCGGGCCTCATCCGCCTGGCTGCTGTACTTCAACCACTATCCGAGCTTCATGCGAGGGGAGAGGAGGGGAATGATCCACGCGTTAGATCTGGTCTACTGGTTTGATATCTCCACCGACGTCATCAACAGTTTCGTTGGTGCGGGCGCCATCGGGACCTACAGCAAGGACGAAATGAGGCTGAAGAAATTGTACTCCTCCATTGTTGCCGCATTCATAAAAACTGGGTGAGAAAAGAAGACATTATGCTAATTAAATTTGTTACTTTTAACTGTTACTTTATTCAACTACTTATGATATGATTACATTTGCCGCACGGATAAGAGGTGAGGACATGTGGTGACCCTCATCGATGATTCCAAACAGGCTGTCTTTTGAGGGCACTGCGCCCAGGCAACCTCTCAACCTCCCAGCTGCGGTGTGAGTTAGTCACACCGCAGAAAACCACGTAGACTCTATTAGAGGACGTCAGTCAAACACCTACTCGTCCTCCCTCGGGTGGGAAAGGGGGGGGGGGCTTAGAGACGTTTAACATATCCACCCCAGCCCCTAGAAAGTCCTGCCCCGTTGCTGTGAGAGCAGCACCCCGGCTGGCCAGGTGTTTGTTCTCCGGGGCCGCCACAATCAGCATTGTCAATCGAGTGAAAGGGCGGGTGTGGCTGTCTTAGAGGGCGAAATGCCCCCGGCGTGCTGCTTCGCAGCCCTGATCGGAGTAAAGACCACTGGGGGCAGTTGTTGAGGCCGGTTGGGTTTCAGCGGGTGGGGCGTCAGAGAAGACCTTATGCGCTTCGGTTCGATGACCTAAACATCTTAGAATTTAAACAATGTTCTCTAGCCAATCAAGGTCGGGAAATTTGGTCTTGTAGTCCTATCTACGAATCGTAATATTGTTCTTTAAAAAAGCGTTGAAATTAACTGACAAAAACGCTTTCTCATTATTAATCTAATAATTTCACTATTTAAAAAAAAATGTCGTTGAGATAAATTATTAAACATATTTGTACAAAATATGGTAAGGGATTTTACCTATTACTTGATTTAAATCAACCTCCGTTCGTATTGGGAAATGAAGGAATATGTTATGGAGAAATACTTTCGAGGAAGCTGTTTTCCCCAGATCCAACTATTTGCCCTCGACCTGGATATCCATGTACATGTTGAACATCTGCTAGAAGATTATACGAGGTGTGTCTTTGGAATTGTGTCTGGTACTGTGTCTGGTACTGTGTCTGGTACTGTGTCTGGTGTTGCTTCTGATACTGTGTCTGGTATTGCGCCTGATATTTATCTGGTATTTTGTCTGGTAATGTGTCTGGTACTGTGTCTGGTACTGTGTCTGGTGTTGCTTCTGATACTGTGTCTGGTATTGCGTCTGATATTTTGTCTGGTATTTTGTCTGGTATTGTGTGTAGTATTGTTTCTGGTATTGTGTCTGGTATTGTGTCTGATTATGTGTCTGGTATTGTGTCTGGTTCTGTGTCTGGTATTGCTTTAGGTACTGTGTCTGGTATTGTGTCTGATATTTTGTCTGGTATTGTGTCTCGTATTGTGTCTGGTATTTTGTATGGTTTTGTGTCTGGTATTGTATCTGGTATTGTGTCTGGTATTGTGTCTGGTATTGTGTCTGATATTGTGTCTGGTATTGTGTCTGGTACTGTGTCTGGTATTGCGTCTGGTACTGTGTCTGGTATTGTGTCTGGTATTGTGTCTGGTTCTGTGTCTGGTATTGCTTCTGATACTGTGTTTGGTATTGCGTCTGATATTTTGTCTGATATTGCGTCTGGTACTGTGTCTGGTACTGTGCATGATACTGTGTCTGGTACTGTGCATGATACTGTGTCTGGTATGTGTCTTATACTGTGTCTGGTATAGTGTGTGGTATTGTGTGTGGTATTGTGTGTGGCATTGTGTCTGGTATTGTGTCTCATATTGAGTCTGGTATTTTGTCTGGTATTGTGTCCGGTACTGTTTCTGGTATTGCGGTAGTTTCGCACATACCATGATTACGTTTACGTGGTATCGATATAACAAGGGCGGCATTTTGGAAAAAGGGGTGGGGGGATTTTAGCCTACCTTGGTTGACACTAATGCTAGCTATGTCACTGCTGACAACACAACAACCTGGTTGGCCCTAACCCTAGCTATGTTATTGCTAACAGCACAGCAACCTGGTTGACACTAACCCTAGCTATGTCACTGCTAACAGCACAGAAACCCGTTCGACAAAATCCACTGACAAATGCCCTGAGCGTAAAATTGACTTAATCTACTTTAACCATTGGCGCACATAGTGGACGTATGACGAGGCTGTAATGGAGATGTTTGGGCTGGTGTAGAATTGGGACCTACGGATACCCTATAGAGATCTTATAGATACCATATATACCCTATAGATAATATGTATGTACAATATAGATTAACGACATCTTGATCACAAAACAAAGAAATATATACGTTACATCTACAAAATATTAATAAAATTATGAGGGAAAAAAATTGATCAAAGATTGAATCCAATATGTATAAATCAAGAGCTGTCTATCCATTTTGTATGAATCAAGAGCTGTTTATCCATTTTGTATGAATCAAGAGCTGTCTATCCATTTTGTGTGAATGAATCAAGAGCTGTCCTTTTTCCGTTGTGGTTTGATTGCACCGTCAATAATAAATTGAGCATCTTGCATTCCACAGCAACCCGACTTCTCCACTGCGAGGCATCACCACAAACCCCTGGTACAGGTATGATCAGAGTGACGCCCCCTACTTGGACTTCAACTCGAAGCCAGAAGTTCTGACCCATTTGGCCAGAAGCAACAGAATACTCTGGGAAAAGACGGTGCCTAACTTGGTGTCTGACCTGCAGGACCCCGAACACCGTTCTGATGACCGTGATTAAAAGATAAACTAAAACTAATGAGGTGTTACAAGTAGCGACGTGTGATGTTTGCAGAATGAACAGACATTTCTTTACCATGTCTCGAAACATCAAAAAAAAAAAAAAATGTAACGGGGCTGTCAATACTGTTCTTACCTTTATTATGTTTATTGTCTGTTCTTCTGTATATTTAGATAAACTTTATATACATCTTTTTTAATCTTTAGGAATGAAAAATATAAAAATTTTCAAAAGCAAGAAAGTTAGTGACCAAAATGAACTAAATATAGCAAATAATTCTCCAGGTATGAAAAAGAGTATGAAAAAGGGTGAGTTCAAAGGCGCGCAAAAAAAACAACAACGACAAAAAAAAAAAAAAAAAAAAAAAAAAAAAAATAAAAAAAAAAAAAAAATAACAGAAGAAAAAAAAAAAAAAAAAGAAAAAAAAACACAACAAAAAAAAAAAAAAAAAAAAAAAAAAAAGAAAAAAAAAAAAAAAAAAAAAAAAAAAAAAAAAAAAAAAAAAAAAAAAAAAAAAAAAAAAATTCCGGGATAAATGCGCTAAATTAGATTCCTAAAAAATACCGTAAGTGGTTTTTCTGGTAAGAAATATTTTTTTTTTACAATTTGTACGTAAGCTGTATCAAATTGAATATGGTGTAATAAATCTGCGGTGTTAAAGTGGATGGGACATTAGAATTTTTATAGTGTTCAAAGGCGTTAGCGTACCTTTGTGTGTAATGTGTGGGTGGGTGTGGGGGGGAGGTGCAGCACTAACTGGGATTATTATGAAGAGTGTTATTTGAATGCGTGTTTTGTCAAGTGACTTTAGCAGATGGGAGCTTTACGCATTGCGGGGGGCCGGGGGGGTTGGGGTGGGTGTTGTTTGGCGGGCTATGACTGGTTTAAAAATTGCTAATACCTTGTTGCCTTTTCGCTGACTTTTTAAAGTTCGTTGATATTGTATATATGTAGTTATATATTTATGTTTTCATTTTATCTTATTTCATAATTTTTTTAAAAATTTTTTTATGTTAGATTTTCCTTTTAACGTCTGCTTCAATTTATTTAACACATCTAATTTTAATTACTGTTGGTTGGTAGTTATTACTTTTTAAACAAAGAAAAAAATTAACCAAACTTTTTTTTAACGAATCTCAGGATGGTCGACATGTCAAGTGTTGTTTGATACGACACTTTGGCTTTGAACGACCTGCACAATGGTGCAGTTAGGGTTTGTGCCGGGGGGGGGGGGGGGGGTGGTTTTTTTTTTTTTTTTTTGCTGCCCCTTCCACGGGATAAAACATTGCAGTTGGCCACAAAACCCACCCGTCAGTATGAAGAACAAAGTTTCCGCTCCTGGTGTATCAGTCCCTTCACTTACCCCCCACCCCCCACACACACACACACCACCACCACCCTCAGCATCCCTTACCTACGCCACTGAACTCGACACTACATTTTAAATAATTAAATCAATACCTATTTTTAGACATCATCTAACAGTTTATCCGTTTTGTAAAATATTGACCATAAAATAAATGGAAGAGATGTGTTTTTGTTTTTGTTTTTTTTTTGTTGTTGTTTTTTTTTTTTTTTGTGTTTTTTAAAATCTCTAAAAACGACCAGATTTTTCTGCATGATTTTTTTTTTGCTCAAAGGTAACTTTTTTAAATGGAAGAGATGTGTTTTTGTTTTTGTTTTTTTTTTGTTGTTGTTTTTTTTTTTTTTTGTGTGTTCTAAAATCTCTAAAAACGACCAGATTTATCTGCATGATTATTGTTATGCTCAAAGGTAACTTTTTGTAGAATCGATCTGGCTAAATTCTAACCGTAACTTCTCAAAGTTTGATTCGAAGTATCTCGGTCTGCTTTTGAATGGTAAGAAATGCTGTCATCTCGACGCTTTGTTCTCTACTTTAAGATATATAAATTTAGTTATTTATTTACATTTGGAGTCCCATTCCTAAAGAAAAATGTAAAAATATGTTTTGGATTTCTTTGGTTTCTTTCAAACTGCACACCGGTGAACAAAGATTCGGGGGGGGGGGGGGGGGGGGGGGGGTGGTGATGTGAGAGACATTTTTATCAATTAAATCAGGAGCCAAAACAGTTTGGGGGCGTCTCAGGGAGCCGAACACCGTGATAGACGCCCTTGGAAGTAAGAACGGTAACTTCCAACGGGTCTGTAGGAATTTTTAATGTAGATCTTCAAGTCAGTCTTAACACCTTGCACAATTAGAATGTAGAAAGGGGCAACCACTCATGTTTTTATTTCTGCCATTACGCAGTTATTTCCCCGTATGTAAACAACCTTAAAAAAACCAAAACAACAACACTGGTCTGTGCCGTCACGGTCAATGTGTTCGTGACGGGATTTTTCACATGGATGTGATCCATGTCACGGTGCTTAATACATTTCGTCTGAAGCCGTTGCTCTGCGAAATAACCCATTGTATTTTAAACTTAATTACTACGTTGTGGAACTTAACTAACTAGCTTTCAATGCCTGGTAAAATAAAAATGAACCAAAAAACAAACAAAAAAAAAAACAAATAAAAAACACACAGAGATTTTTGAAAGCGGCTTGTCGAAATAATTATATTTGATCAAATCGCATCTTCTGTACTCCGCTCCCAGTTAGCCAAAACATGAGATGTGTACTCCGCTCCCAGTTAGCCAAAACATGAGATGTGTACTCCGCTTCCAGTTAGCCAACATGAGATGTGTACTCCGCTCCCAGTTAGCCAACATGAGATGTGTACTCCGCTCCCAGTTAGCCAACATGAGATGTGTACTCCGCTCCCAGTTAGCCAACATGAGATGTGTACTCCGCTCCCAGTTAGCCAACATGAGATGTGTACTCCGCTCCCAGTTAGCCAACATGAGATGTGTACTCCGCTCCCAGTTAGCCAACATGAGATGTGTACTCCGCTCCCAGTTAGCCAACATGAGATGTGTACTCCGCTCCCAGTTAGCCAACATGAGATGTGTACTCCGCTCCCAGTTAGCCAACATGAGATGTGTACTCCGCTCCCAGTTAGCCAACATGAGATGTGTACTCCGCTCCCAGTTAGCCAACATGAGATGTGTACTCCGNTTTTTTTTAAAAATTTTCAATAAAAAAAATTAAATTCTTAAATAAAAAATTTAATCCTTTGAATAAAAAATTATTTTTTATTTTTTTTTTTTTTTGCCATGAAAAAGTTAATTCTTACAATAAAATAAGTAGGAATAATGTGTAACCCACACACACAATAAATACAAAATGAGATTGATTCTTATGTGTCGAACTTTATTGTTGATAACCAAATTCACCAATATATCATGATTTTAAGAAAAAAGAGAGACAAAAATAATGTTCAAGACACTTCACTCAAGACCGACCGCTCCATCCAACAACACTGTCAACAGACAGAGCTATGCATGGGTATATTGAACGGAGATTGGCGGAAATGTGACTTGAGTGAGCAATTAATGTAGTCTAAGTTTTCTTACAGTTACAACTTATTAGACAACTCTAGCGTGTTCTCGTTTCCGTTTCTAAGAAGCGCGCCGCAAGTGCACGTTTCTGAGAATCGGCCATTTTTTTTCTTCTTCAAACTTGCCGATTCTATATTTCATTTATCTAAACCACCGAAAGAAATGAATGCACATGGAAAGCAGGCGAATGAATGAGTACGTGAGAGGAGGAACTCCAATACGGTTGTTTTATCGAGATCTTGACCGATGCTTCAATTAAATTGAGTCCACTGACAGCGTGGCTTTTCGTTGAATGACCTTGAACCGCGTCGCGGTAGCCACATTGACGAAAAGAACAACTGTGGCCGAGGGAAATGTCAGGCATTTTTTTATTATATATATATATATATAGAGAGAGAGATTTATTTTATGACATCTCTTTATAAACTATGCACTACAAATTTTTTTTTTTAATGATCCCCTACTGTTAAGTCAGTGGAATTCTTTATGATTTTTTTTTTTTTTGAAGCCTGGAGAAGAGAGCCGAGTGTTGATTTACACGCATTCATCAAAAATATTGCCTTAATATTTTTAATCATATTCTGAAATCAACTAAGTTTTTTTTTCTTGTACATATAAGACATACTTCCGCACGTTTTATCTATACTAGCAGGAACATGGCAACCTCGTTGTGCGTGTAAATTAAGAAAGGAATAATCTCTGATTAATAAATCCAGATGACCAGACTTTGAAGGTTCTTGTGCCCACATGGATTGTATACCATGTTATTATTCTTTTTAGAATGTCATAAAGTCTCAGATCTGTGTCCTTATCGGGTATTTCAGAACACAAAAAAAAAAACTAGTCTGTCAAAATATGTCCACAGTTCTGGGTTTATTGTAATTGCGGAGTCTTTAGAGGAAACGACAATGTGGTAGAACTCGTTTTTTTAGTCTCAATGACGTCGACATCTGGTCTTGTGTGTGTGTGTTTGGTGCGCACGAGATCAATCCAACGACTTGGGGAGGAGGGGGGGGAGCAGCGAATGAGAATACATCACGGTGCGCAATGATAACGGGGCGGAAAATATCCATCCAGAAAATAATGATATAGATATATATTTTTTTTTAAAAATCACAAATTGGTTGGATTCTATCTTAATCAATGATGTAAATGTGAATTGGGTCTTTTTGGCCACACATGATGTTTCTTTTGGCCACACATGATGTTTCTTTTGGCCACGCATGATGTTTCTTTCAGCCACACATGATGTTTCTTTTGGCCACACATGATGCTTCCTTTGGCCACACATGATGTTTCCTTTGGCCCCACATGATGTTTCCTTTGGCCCCACATGATGTTTCCTTTGGCCACACATGATGTTTCCTTTGGCCACACATGATGCTTCCTTTGGCCACACATGATGCTTCTTTTGGCCACGCATGATGTTTCCTTGGGTTATCCAGATGCGTGGACAGAAGAGGATGGAACCATCTTACCCTCCTATAGCCAAGAAAAAATTCGAGGCCCCGCGATTTCGTCAAACTCACAAACAAACAAACCAACATAAAATTCGGACACATTTCTGTCCGACCAAATGTCCATCAGACCAAACTTCCGTCGACTAAATTTCTTTCAAACAACTTGGCGGGTGCGGTTCAGAATCTACAATCTGCGATATGCTCGAGGTAAATAGGAATAGAAATGTGTGTGTGTGTGGGGGGGGGGGGGTAGGGGGGGGGGGGGGTGGGGGGGTTGGAAATAAAAGTTTGAAAAGAAATTTGACAGGCAGGTCTTAATAAAATAAAATGAAGGATTGTTTGCTGAAATGTTCAAAGTCCTAGCTGTCCCATAACGAGTGGCTAAAGTTACACAAACACGATGAGACGGTACCAATTAGATCGACAGCCCGGGGTCGTGGCGTTGTAGCTGGCTACCAGGGGATCAAACACCATCTCAAACTTTACAGGAAAGTAACAACAGCTTAAAAGATATTATGTGTACATGTGATGGAAGTTTTACATCATTTGTGTACATCTGATGGAACATTTACACCATTTGTGTACGTGTGATGGAAGTTTTACACCATTTGTGTACATTAGATGGAAGTTTTACACATTATGTGTACATGTGATGAATGTCTCAAATAATATGTGCACATTGTACGGTTAGCGTATTAAAAAATGCATAACTTGTACATGTGATGAATATATTACAAGATTTGGTTGTGTACAAGTTACATGTGATGAACATATTACAAGATCTGATTGTGTACACGTTACGAGTGATGACCGTCTTACGAGAAACGAAACACGTACGCTGCACTTGGGAAGAACGTATTACAAGACGTGTGTACAGGGTACATGCGGTTTACGTAAAACAAGACTTGTGGACATGGTACAAGAGGTACACATGTCAGGCCGCCGACGTCTTGGCGAAGTACTGTGAATGTAAGGCAAGCACGGGCTTCCGCAAGGGGACCTCATTTTTGTCGTCGGCTGTGTCGGTGCGAGCAGCGGGGCCCGCCAGCTCCTGGATCATCTGGTTGGATGCTTCTTTCAGAAGGTCCGGTCCGATAATGACGCAGTTAGGGCCACCACTGCTTGGTGTCCGCTGGCGTGGTGCATTGTCCCTGCCCGAACCCTTCAGCCCCGGGATGTAATCCGGCTTACAGGTGGAACAGAAATAGCGTCCGGGCGACTCGAAACTGGATGTGGAGCCCCCGTGCTGGCCCTGCCGTGGTGTGGTGTGGTCGTGTGGCTGCTGCTGCTGCCGTCCAGCGCGGGTTGGGTTAAGGCTGTGGTTGATGGCGCTGCTGTTGTGACAGAGCTGTGGCTGCGGTACGAACGTCGAGCCGAAGCCGGGCCCTTCAAATTTCGACGTGGTGGAATGTGAAAGATTTGCGGAGGTTCGGAGGTCGTCGGCCCTGCAGCTCTCACCGTCCCGTGAAGCTGCGGTCGTTGTCGGTCTGACCCTGTAGAGGTCACCGGCGGAGGGTATGGCATTTTGGTGAATTTGGCTCATGAGATAGGAATGCAGCGGCGTGCCCGCGATGTGGGGATACTGTTGCGGGCACGAGAACCCGTGACCCTGATCACACCTCGTGAAGGCCCCGTTCGCGTGACATTCGCTTGATGCGTCGCGCTGCGTCGAAGTGTTCAAGAAGCTGGCGTCGGCGATGGTCTCCCCCGACGGATTCTGGGACAAGGCACAGTTATGTTCCAGCTCGAAATAGTTGGGTAGAAAGGTCACGGGGAATTGTTCTAAGTTCTCTTCTCCGTTGAAGCCCGTCTCGGCCACCTGGTGCCCTCCGCCGCCCCTGACATCGTCGTAGCGCCTCGGTCGGATCTGCACGGTGCTGATACTCGTCGGCGACGTCTGGCAGGGGGAGCAACTGTGGCACGATTCCCTGCTGTTTGAGTTCGTTGGGGTTCTTCCCCTCGACCGGCTCTGCGACGAGTCTTCGGTGCGCGGCACGTCATCATCGTCGTCGTCATCGATGGTCTCGTAGACGGCGGAGTAGGCGCGGGAGTAGCAGTGGGAGGACGGGCTCATCCTCATGAGTGGGTGTCGGGACGTGCACGACGGGCAGTTCCACTTCGGGTCGCAGACCGGGTGGCACGCCATGGGCGGGTTGGGAAGGCCCCGGTGACGGAATGGCGGGTAGATGACGTCGTCGTCAGCCTGCACCTGGACGGAGGGTAGAGATTAAGGTACATTTTAGAACATGAGTGTTTAGTTGGTTCCAAAGCGTGGGAGAGATGTTATGTAAATGATATGACACCAAAAATGTGGGATGACGGTGGCTTATTTGTATCTGATTAAACAAGCAAAGAATGGTCATTGTCTTTTTTTTTATTTTTTATTTTTTTTTTTTTAAAATGTTAAGTTCAATGTTGTTTTTGCCGCTTTAGAATAAAATCAACATCAGGGAAGAACTTGACTCAATTCAATGGAATGTCTCGGCATTTTGCGTTAGAAGTGAAGCTATCAATTAAATCATATCTATATCCGCACATTCTATCACTTTAAACACACACAAAAAATCGCTCGAAATGAGACTCTTTCCTAACATCATTATTTCAGGCCAAAGTTTCCCTACTTTACTTTAAGTTAAGATGGGGGGGGGGGGGGGGAAAAATACCAAATTTTTACATTTTAAAAAATTTTTTTTTTTAAAAAAAATAATTAAAACCTATTTTGTTTGGTTGTTTGGAAAAACAGTTTGTTTTCCTTTCAAAGAAAAAAAAATGAAACGTATATTATAACTAAAAAGGCAAAAATTAATAAATTTAAAAAAAAATAGATATTTTTAAACAAATGCACCAACAACCAAATATGTTCCTTTATTTCAGCTGTCCAATAACATAACAGCTTTTCCCGACCAATGCATATTCTTCTATCAGGCTTGTATCCCCACGAGACAGAGAAAATAAATTTAAAACCTTTACATGACAGAATGCACTCTAGGATGACACAAGCATATTTTTTTTTAATTCCCCACCCTTGACTGATTTTTCGATATCGATGACTGATCTTTCTAGGTCAATGGTCCACTGTTCTTTGTGGACGGTCGACTTTTCCGTGTGACTGGCCAATTTTTCTATATGGATGATCGACATTTGTATGTGAATGGTCGACTTTTCTCTTTATATATATATATATATATATGATCTCTTCTTTAATGTTACCGACATCCCCCCCCCCACACACACACAGAAAAGATGTATATGAGACCCCAAATCCCACAACGAGAACCGCCGTGAGACACACCTCCCGGTTTGAGAAGTCCGTACAGATGACGGCGTCACTGGTAGACGTGTTTTTCCGTGTGTCTGGCCAATTTTTCTATATGGATGATCGACATTTGTATGTGAATGGTTGACTTTTCTCTTTATATATATATATATATATATGATCTCTTCTTTAATGTTACCGACATCCCCCCCCCCACACACACACAGAAAAGATGTATATGAGACCCTAAATCCCAGAATGAGAACCGCCGTGAGACACACCTCCAGGTTTGAGAAGTCCGTACAGTTGACGGCGTCACTGGTTGACGTGCTGAGCTGGAGCTGTTGACGGGACGGCCGGGTGGCAGCCATCTTGTGCCTGACGCGATGCCTGCGGAAAAGATAGCGTCATTAAAATTGAAATCCGAGCGTCGACATCTAATTGGATACAGCAGGAATACACTACGCTGATATAATAGACCAAATACACACACAAACACACACGAGGTCAGTTATCAAAGAGCCAGTAAATAGCACACAAACACACACACATACACAGTGTGCACACCACAGTTATCTCTGGGTATATCATTTTTATAGTTATACTATAACATAAGAGTTGTATATTTTTTAAAATTATATCGTTTAACGTTGACCTTATTAAAATTTAAAATGTTAGATATAAAAATGTTAAATTTATATTTTGATTTTAAAAAAAAAAAAAAAATTAGAAAAGACTTTGAAATGAAACAAAAATGGTAATCTAATGCAGTCCACGCCTCCACTGTACTGTGGTGTTAGCATTTGGTCTACTGTTGGTCTACTGTTGGTCTACTCTTGGTCTCCTCTTGGTCTACTCTTGGTCTACTCTTGTCTCCTCTTGGTCTACTCTTGGTCTACTCTTGGCCTCCTCTTGGTCTACTCTTGGTCGCGACCCATTTGGGGGGTCGAACGACCCCTTACACAGTGGTCGCCTAAGACCATCGGAAAACACATTTAAGGCAGTAGCAACGAACCTAATTTTATGGTCTGGGGTCAACACAACATGAGGAACTGTATTAAAGGGTCACGGCATTGAGGTAGGTGGAGAATCGCAGGTTTACAGAGACGTGCATTGTCCGTGAGCTAAGGGTCGAGCTCATCTGAACAAACCAACAGAGCTAAGGGCCGAGCTTATCTGAACAAACCAACAGAGCTAAGAGCCGAGCTTATCTGAACAAACCAACAGAGCTAAATGACCTTCTGTCTACTTCGGTAACAACAACAACAACAAAAATGGTACTTGCTTTGTGATGCACACCAGCACCGCCACCATCATGACGACCACCACGAAGAACATGGCGCACCCGATGGACAGCTGGCAGGGCGTGTCGCACCAGTGATGGTCGGCGGTCGACAGGTCGCCGTGGGACGACGAGCCGTGATCCGCGCCGTCGGTGAAGCGGGGGACCGGGTTGAGCTTGTGCTTGGAGTTGCCCGCGTCCAGGTTGTAGTCGGACGGGAAGAGGATGTGCCCGATCTCACACTTCCCGGCCAGGAACGACTGCACCGTCCGGCTGACCTGAGGGTCCAGCCGGGTCGAGTTGACCTCGATGAGCAGACGCGGCCTCCACGGCGGCGGGCAGGGGAACGAGGACCAGAACTCCTGGATCTTAAGGTCAAGGTCTCTGGTTGGGGCAGACGACGTCGTCGTGGTGAGTGCAGACTCCGTCGAGACGGAGTTGGGGTGCGTCGTCAGCAACGACGCCGCGGGGGAGGATGACGTCATGGTGGACACCACCAGCGACGACGCCACGGAGTACAACAAGCCGTTGGCTTCAGTCGGGCTGGTCATGGAAGGGAGGAGCTGGTGCTCATGGGGTCATGGTGAACTGCGGGAGAGAGGAAAAAAAAGGATATATGCATGTGTTAACTGCAGCAACCGCATAGGAATGCTGCTGTAGTTTTTTTAAAAAAAATATATACATTAAAAGTTCTGTTTAATTGGCATGCTTCTAGATCAAAACATAAAAGAAACAGCCACAACATTAAAAGACATCACAAATAATAATTCTCAAAGTATGTATGTATTATGTATGTATATTTGGCTGTATGTATGTGTGGCTCTTTGTATCTATGGCTGTATGTATGTATGGCTGTATGTATGTATATATGGCTGTATGTATGTATGGCTGTATGTATGTGTGGCTCTTTGTATCTATGGCTGTATGTATGTATGGCTGTATGTATGTATATATGGCTGTATGTATGTATGTATGTATGGCTGTTTTTATGTATGTACGGATGTATGTATGTATGGCTGTAACGCTGTTTTCAGTTGGCGAACAAAGTACAATTCTCAGAAGTTAGCACTCAGCACCGATTGGGATCCTTATAAAGTACTTTCATTGAATGCATGCTTCGTAAAGTAACTTGATTAGATATGAAGTTTACGCATATCCACAGCCATTGTTTAGTGGGTTATTTCTAGTTTAACGTAGGAAGGGAGAAAAAAAAATGATATCTGCATTTAGACGGCCACTAACGATTTTGCTTAAAAAAACAATTTATACCTCAGACCAAAATTGATATAAAGAGTTAATTGAAATTATTTTTTTAATGTTATCCCACATGCCCCCCACCCCCATCATTCACAACCACGCCCACATTTATAAAGTTCGGTGTGAAACAATAACGCGAAGATGCTCGCGGTCGCTCCAGACTAGAGCCCACCAGCTCGTGGCCGTGGACCAGGCTGAGAAGCACAAGAACTTTGCTAAAATAATCAAAGAAAAAAAAAGACGAAAGTGCAGAGAGCAACGAAGATGGGGGGCTCGTTTAAGTCGAGTGGACCGGCACGAAGATGGGGGGCTCGTTTAAGTCGAGTGGACCGGCACGAAGATGGGGGGCTCGTTTAAGTCGAGTGGACCGGCACGAAGATGGGGGGCTCGTTTAAGTCGAGTGGACCGGCACGAAGATGGGGGGCTCGTTTAAGTCGAGTGGACCGGCACGAAGATGGGGGACTCGTTTAAGTCGAGTGGACCGGCACGAAGATGGGGGGCTCGTTTAAGTCGAGTGGACCGCCAAGATAATAGATTTTCTTCCTTTTTTTTAAATTTTCTTTTTAATAGACCGCCCTCGGCTGCGGTGCTTAAAAAAAACGCCCTTTCACTTACTAGCCCTCGGTTCGGATTAAGGGCTTTTATGGTGGCCAGGGCTGGAAAGATAAGTGGCAGACGAGAAACGGGGAGGGGGGGTGGGGTCAGATGGAGGCTGGCAAACACAAAAGGGACCATTAAAAAGGATGCCGGCTGATTTTTCTTTTATCGCTTGATGAAACATCGCTGCCCCATTGACTGGACGTGACGTGCTCTTCCACAGGTGCTTGTGTTCTCGTGGTGCCACGTTCTTGTGACGACACTTTAATTTAACGCCTGACACGTCGAAAGAATGTCATTTCCTCAGCATAAAGTCTCTGCTTTGTGAAGTATGGACATGTGCTTCAGACCACTTGCCTTAGAACAAGGGCATTAGAACATGCACCTCAGAACACGTGCCTCTGAACATGTACCCCAAATCATGTGCCTCAGAACATGTGCCTCAGAGCATGTGCTTCAGAACAATGCCTTAGAACAATTGCCCCCCATGTATCTCTGAGCATGTGTCTCAGAATATGTGTCTGAGAACCTGTCGCCTTAGAACGAGGGCGTTAGAACAACTGCCTAGGAACATGTGTCACAGAACATGTGTCACAAAACATGTGTCACAGAACATGTGTCACAGAACATGTGTCACCGAACATGTGTCACAGAACATGTGTCACAGAACATGTGTCACAGAACATGTGTCACAGAACATGTGTCACAGAACATGTGTCACAGAACATGTGTCACAGAACATGTGTCACAGAACATGTGTCACAGAACATGTGTCACAGAACATGTGTCACAGAACATGTGTCACAGAACATGTTATTTTTTTCATAATATATGCCTCAGAATATGAACCTCCGAAGGTGAGCCCCGGATCATGTTTCCCAGAAATGTGAATAAGAATATGGGCCTCAGATCATGTGGCCCAGAAATGTGAATAAGAATATGGGCCTCAGATCATGTGGCCCAGAAATGTGAATAAGAATATGGGCCTCAGATCATGTGGCCCAGAAATGTTAATAAGAATATAGGCCTCAGATCATGTGGCCCAGAAATGTGAATAAGAATATAGGCCTCAGATCATGTGGCCCAGAAATGTGAATAAGAATATGGGCCTCAGATCATGTGGCCCAGAAATGTGAATAAGAATATAGGCCTCAGATCATGTTTCCCAGAAATGTGAATAAGAATATGGGCCTCATATCATGTTTCCCAGAACTGTGAATAAGAATATGGGCCTCAGATCATGTTTCCCAGAAATGTGAATAAGAATATGGGCCTCAGATCATGTGGCCCAGAAATGTGAATTAGAATATGGGCCTCAGATCATGTGGCCCAGAAATGTGAATAAGAATATGGGCCTCCGATCATGTGGCCCAGAAATGTGAATAAGAATATGGGCCTCAGATCATGTGGCCCAGAAATGTGAATAAGAATATGGGCCTCAGATCATGTTGCCCAGAAAATGTCTTTCACAATTTGTGGCTCCGAACACGTGCCTCAGAACATACCTGCTCCGAAAACGTGCCTCAGAACATGTGTTGTAGAACTTCCCGTTAACAACAACAACAAGATCTTAGAAATGTATTTATTTATTTTTATTGAAAAATTCACACCACTGGACAATATGGCGAACGTGATCTTCTTGTTCAGAATCAGAATGTTTTATTGTAATAAATAATTTTACAAAATGATAATAATAATAATAATATTTTTTTAGAAAACTTGTTTAGCATAAGACATACAGGTAATTATATTCAATAAATGCCCATTTGTAATAATACAAACATAGAACTAAATGCCATAGATCTGGATTCGATAATTGTTCGAATACGTCTTAATCAAATATACTTCATCGGTCTTTGAGTAACCGATTACTTTTTGATAAGCGAATACAAAACTTTTATACAAAACTGAGATTTTTTTCTCTCTTGGTCATGAGCAAAACTTCTCATGAACTGCCACAAGCCACAAACAAACTGACAGTAAAACGTGCACATAGCCGTCAAAAATAAGAAATAATCTTGTTATATAAAAAATCTTCAGGTCATAAATCTCTTATTTACATAATAGGAGACTTACTTTCTTGTTCCCCTGGGCCCTAACTTCGCCCGCGGGTCCCCACGCCCGGTTCGCCCCAATGACGGTTACGCCGCTGTTTCAAGGTCACCCCCCCCCAATGTTTACAGTTCTCCGACAGCGCTCGCGAAGTTTGCGGGCCGATTTCCCCCCCCCCCCCTTTCTGGGCCCTGCTCGTGGATTGACAGCTAAGGGGGCTCAGCATTTGACAACAATGGAAACGGATATAATGAAATTCATTAAGGCCCACAAATCCCTCCTTGATCCTCCATCACAATCCTCTCAATGCCACAATCCAATTCAGCAGATTATTTCTAAATCTTCAGAGGACGGCTCTCCAATACCATCACGGATGATTGATTGGTTTAAACAAACGAACTAAAAATAAAAATAAAAAAGTTTTCCGATATAATCAAGTTGACATGAGAAGTACAGAAGTACAGAAGTACAGAAGTACAGAAGTACAGAAGTACAGAAGTACAGAAGTAAATTAATTGAAGCGTAAAATAAAATAAAAATAACTTCTCACTAGGCTCAATGCTTTAATAGTTCGACCCTTAATAGAAGCTTCTTTTTTTGTTCTTTTCTTTTTTTTTTCTATAGGACATCAAAAATGCGTACAAATCATTTCCTTTAAGGGGGAGAGTTAATTTTGAAGAGTTAATTTTGGAGAGTTAATTTTGTTGTACAGCGTTACTCATACTCTGTAAAAGTATAGTGGAAATGTTTCAATGTATGAAGCTCGGCACTATTCACCGCATGAGGATTTAATTAAAAAGTTGTCTACAGAAACAACATTTAAATTGAATTGATATTGTTAGGGGGGTCGTTCGCAAAATTACGTCACGGCCAAAAATGATCTTTTCAGACACCCCCCCCCCCACACGGGTCCCAATGTGTCACAAATTGTTTGCGCCTTTTAGAATCGGTACCCAGATAATTTAAACAAATCAAAAGAACGCCCTTCGTTCGTGACATTTAATAAGCTTTTGCACAGCCAGCAAATTGTTGAAGTTCCGACACGAGATGCACCAGCAAATTGTTGAAGTTCCGACACGAGATGCACCAGAAAATTGTTGAAGTTCCGACACGAGATACACCAAGCAAATTGTTGAAGTTCCGACACGAGATACACCAAGCAAATTGTTGAAGTTCCGACACGAGATGCACCAAGCCAATTGTTGAAGTTCCGACACGAGATACACCAGCAAATTGTTGAAGTTCCGACACGAGATACACCAAGCCAATTGTTGAAGTTCCGACACGAGATACACCAAGCAAATTGTTGAAGTTCCGACACGAGATGCACCAAGCCAATTGTTGAAGTTCCGACACGAGATACACCAAGCCAATTGTTGAAGTTCCGACACGAGATACACCAAGCCAATTGTTGAAGTTCCGACACGAGATACACCAAGCAAATTGTTGAAGTTCCGACACGAGATACACCAAGCCAATTGTTGAAGTTCCGACACGAGATACACCAAGCAAATTGTTGAAGTTCCGACACGAGATACACCAAGCAAATTGTTGAAGTTCCGACACGAGATACACCAAGCAAATTGTTGAAGTTCCGACACGAGATACACCAAGCAAATTGTTGAAGTTCCGACACGAGAT